TTCCTTCTCTCGCCGTGATAGGGTTTGTTTTTCTGGACAGCCTGCAAGCACAGTTCAGAAATGCTTTGCCGCTCTAGTCCATTAGACGAGGTGGGTGGGATTCGCATCCATCTCAGTTTGAGAGCAACTCCCGCCTCCTCAATGCGTGGTTGTGATAATATCAAAGCCCTTAATAAGTATGAGCTTGTGGTGTGTGTGTGGGGGGGACGGGACATGAAAGATGGGATGTAAAAGAGGTTGAGGAAGTTATGAATGGCTTGGGGAGAGGGTGTTTAACCCCCCCCCCCATAATACCAAAGTGTAAGGTTACTACCCAGTAAATTTGATTGTCAATAGTTTCGAGCCAGGCAAAAGAGAATAGCCCCCCCCCTTTTTTGGCACGCTGCACAATTAACTTACACATTTCACTGCCCACCAGCTGTGCCAACAGCTTTGAAAGAGACGCGTTCGGGCGGGTAAGCCAGCCGACAGCTACGATAGTGCACGGCCTTTAGAGGCGAGGCACCTCCGAATGCTGGGGATGAACAGTGGGGGAGGGCCGCTGCCCTACTTTTCTGGGAGCATCTGCGCTGTCCAGTGTCGAAAACAGGACACTGGAGAAGACAGAGCGCACGCCCCAGCTGGTTATTTAGGTGTTCGGCTGCTGTAACTGTGTCGGGATCTACGGAACTTATCCTGCATGCAAATTAGGGGTGTAAAATTATTAACATTTAAACGATGAAATGCGAAGGATGCGTTTACCTGTTGTTGTTGTTTTTGCTGTGGGGCTGCAGCCGACTTATGGCAAAACCGTAGGAGGCCTTCAGAGGTGGTTTGCCAATTGCCTGGCTCTGCGACTTCCTTGGTGGTCTCTCATCCAAGTATTAACCAGGGCAGACCCTGCTTAGCTTCTGAGATCCGCTGAAATGGGGCTATCCCAGGCTATACAGGTCAGGGCTTACCATTTGTATGATGCCGTAAACGTTTAAATGTTCTCCAAGGCTCAGAAAACTAGTAGAGGTTTGCCTGAGCATTCCAGGATCATCGGTGCCTGCAGAACGTGTGTTTTCCAAAGCTGGCATTACTGTTAATGGTCTGTGCATAAGACTGACACTGAAGCACATTAACATGTCAGAATTTTCTTAAAAGTCAGTAGCAGATGTGTAAGAAATAGGTACGTGCGTTAGGCTGTGAGCGTGTGACTATTCAAAAGACAGTATTTTTACAGTTTAAATGGTTGTTTAATTAAAGGAGGTAACATTTATTTATTTCAGCTATTTAAAGCCTCCTTTGCTCCCCAAAAGGGACCTATAGCAGCTTACTATAGTCCCCTGTCTCAATTTTATCCTCACAACAACCCTGTGAGGTAGGTTAGGCTGAGAGCGTGTCTGTCCCTAGGCTCCCCGGCTTCCGTGGCACAGTAGGAATTTGAATCTGCCAGAACTTAATCCAACACTTTAATCACTATACCCTGCTGGCTTTTTAAATGGCAGTTTTGAAAAAGTAAAAAAGAAACCCCCCCCCCCCCATTTTGTTAAGTTTTCTTAATTACAGCCAAGCTCTGTGTAGAGTTCTAAATACCCCATTTTCCCCAGTCAATAACAAATGTAAGAAAACGGTACTTTGTTTTATATCGGGGGCTGCCTCCCCCAGGGGTGGGGAGAGGAATCCTATGTATTGTTAAAGGTATACAGTGCAGAAATGATCACTCGTTCTCTTGGTATTTGTTTGGTGTTGCATTGCGTTCCATAGTTAACAGAGACTCAGTCAGGGGGCTCCTGGAATGTGTGGTCTTATTTCAGGGACAGACCAACCTGGCAAAGAGCACTGCAAGGGGAAGTTTGATTTTGAGTTGAAGTGGATGCCGCTCGAAGGAGGTATGGTTTGCATCGACATTCTTGCTACCTGCTCAACCGACACATTTGCAAATAAGCTGTTATAGAAGGCACTTATGCTTATGCAAAAGGACGCTCATCCTGTAAAAACCTCTCCTGGAGCTTCCTATCGCTTGTGGGAAATCAGTGTTGTAAAGCGTCAAATTTCCAATGGATGGGATTTTTATATATAGCATTTGACCAGCAGGGGGAGCTGGTTAGCAGATAGAATTCCTGGCTGTGAGTAAAGGGGGTGAATCATGGCGCATATAATTCCATAGAACAAAGTTTGTCCAGTGACACCTTTAAGACGAACAGAGTTTTATTCAAGGTATGAGCCTTTGTGTGCACTCACACTTCCTCGTATACATAGAAATGGAAGCTAACAGTCCATACATCTAGGCAGATGGTGAACAGCAAATTAGCATACAACATGATGAAGATGTTTTAACAGATGCAAGGACCAAACCGGAATAACAGGCTAAGTTTATATGGTCACCTTTTGCTTGGATTTAATTACGGGGGAAGCACAGTGGAGCAAATAAAATATGTCAAAATAGGAGACGAATGTGTAAATGTATCCTTTTTATAACTTTATATTTTATTTTAAATAATAACATTTAACAGCAAACAGTAATAAACAGTCCACTTATAACAATCAATAAAAAACAAAATCAACATATTTAGTAGGTAGCTCAGTAGTTGCATTTTTTTACCTTAGACACATGGTCAAAAAACACAAACCATTTCTCAACAAAATTTGATTTTTTTTGCCGGAGTTTTTGCGGCCAACAGTTGGCATGCAAGTTTGTCCATGACTACCAAATCCCACAATTTTGCAAGCCATTGTTTAACGGAGGGCATCTCCTCCGTCTTCCATACTTGAGCCAACAAGGTCTTCGCTGCAATTAACATTATTGAAACCAGTTCCCTAGTTGTGCGGGAGAAAGTATCCTTCTCCCAATAGTTGAGCAGAATAGATTGTGGAGTGTTAGGAAGATGAATTCCCACAATATCCTCTATTTGTTGAATAACTGTCTTCCAATAAACCACTACCTTGGGACACTCCCAATGGTGAAGCAGGAAATGTATCCTTCTTAATTGTGGAATGCTAAGAATGCTGCGGTGGCTCAAGTGGTTAAGACGCTGAACTGCAGGCTGTGGAAGGTCGGTAGTTCAGCAGTTCGAGACCCGAGTGTGCTGCATGACGGAGTGAGCTCCAGTCTCTAGTTCCAGCTCCTGCCAACCTAGCAGTTCGAAAGCAAGAAATTGCAAGTCGATAAATAGGTACCACTTCAGTGGGAAGGGAACAGCGTTCCGTGCTCCTTGGTGTTTAGTCATGCCGGCCACATGACCACGGAAACGTCTTCTGACAGCGCTGGCTCTTCGGCTTTGAAACGGAGATGAGCACCGCAACCCTAGAGTCGGACTCGACTGGCTTTCGAGCAAGGGAACCTTTACCTTTACTTTAAGAATGCTCCATTTGTCTCCTCTCAAGCATCGAGGTAAACTAACAGCACACATTTCTTTGAGGTGGGGTGAATGGTTGTGCAGTGTTATGTCTCCTCTGTCACCAGACAAGAGAAATACATCCCAATATTCATTCCATTCCAGTCAGTATCTGAGGAAGTGCGCATGCCCACGAAAGCTTGAATAAAACTTTGTTGCACTTAAAGATGCCACTGGACTCAAACTTTGTTCTACTGCTTCAGACCAACACGGCTGCCCCCCTGGATCGCATACAGGGGTCATTTCCTGCAGGAGCGCACAGGAGTGGAGCTCCGGCAGTAAAGAGCCCAGGGGGTGGGCACATGCAGCAAACCCCGCCCCCTGCTCCCAGCAGCCCTCAGTCAGAGCAAGAAGCAGCCAGGTAAGCTGTAGAGCCCCCCCCCCGGCCCCCCGGTCCAAAACAGTCCAGTGGCACCTTTAAGACCCACGTTTTATTCAGGTACAAGCTCTCCCTCCTCTGTGAGGGCAGATCTGCACCTTCCCCCACCCCATAGCTAGCAATCCAAAAGAGTCCAGTGGACCCTGAGTGGTGGGTGTTGCCTTCTGACACACTTCCAGTGATGGAAGGGGGTGTGGCATATGCAAATAAGTTATGCTAATGAGTTATGCTAATGATCTCCTGCACCTCTCTTTCTACGAAATGACCCCTGATCGCATAATTCCATGATCGTCTGTTGCTGAAGAAATAAATAGGAATCTAGTGGTGTCTGAAGGTCAAACATGATTCTTATCCCAGCGTAAGGTTTCTGGAACCAGAACCCAGTGCATCTGGCAAAATAAACCCGAGTCCATGAAAACGTATGCTGAAAAAAACCTTGTGCATCTTTTAAGTTTCCAATAGATTCTGATGATCCATGCAGTTATTTCACTGCACTTCCCTGGAGCAGCGCATGTCAGATTGCTGTCATAAAAAGACTTATCTTGCCAGGTTTTAAAGAAAAAATGTCCCTTGGGAAAAAACAAAGCCCAGATTATCACATTGTACACCCCTCCCTCCCTCTCTGCATAGTTACAAGCACTTGAAATGCAAGAGAGAGATCAGCACATGCCACGTATGCTCCAGCGTTGATGAATATTGACTCTGACTTCTGAACAAGCCCAAATGAATGTCTGACCCTCCCCCCCCAGCTTTTGAGCATGCACGGGTGAACGCAGACCCTCTTATCCCGCATCTGGGGGTAAACGACAGAGCAGAGAGTGCGACGAGAAGCTATCGGGAACAAGCCTGAGAAAAGCAGCTCTGTTTTCGGTAAGAGCTGCGGTAGGGTTGCGTGTTAGGATTGGGAAGTGCCTCCTATCAGTAGGTCTTCACCCTTCCCTAGAAGCAGAGATCTGGCTCGCTGACAAGATTTCAGATGTCCCGGTTCAGCAAAGCCGTTCAGGCTACGAAGTCAGCATCTTTCTAGAAATGCCTGCATGTGGAGGCTTGTCGTCGCACAGTTCAATAAACGTGCAGGTTTTAACGGCACGGCATTGGAGACTAAGCTTCCCTGCAGCAGTCCCGCTGGAAACCTTTGATATTCACAAGCAAAATAAAATAAATGGCAACGGTAGCAGATTCAAAGGGGCTGGCGCATTGTAGCTGTTTCCGCATTTCCAGCCGTCCTTGGAAATGTTTCGGCATCGTTGCCAGGAGGGAGATCTGAATGCAAGACGAAATTCTGGCTCCGGAGTGAAAATGGTGGGTTCATAGCTGATAGGGATGCCAGCCTCCAGGTGGGACCTGGGGATCCCCTGGAATTACAGCTCAAGTCCGAACTACAGAGATCAGTTCCCCTGGAGAAAATGGATGCTTCGGAGGGTGGACTCTCTGGCACTGTACCCCACTGAGGTCCCTGTCCTCCCCAGGCTCCATCCCCAAATCTCCAGAGGTTTCCTAGCCTAGATCTTGCAGCCCTACCCCCTATCCCCCACCAGTGGCCAGAGGGACCTGCCAAACCTAGTGGCTGATTATTATGGCACTCTTTTAAGTTTTCTTTTTTGGTATTTTTTGTATTTTTCATATGTGAGTGTGTGTGAGCGCGTGTGTGCACCTGGAAGTCATGTCGACCTCTGGCGACTGACCCTTACTGGGGGCCTGGAGGATATTCAGAGAGGTGGCTGAATAAAGCCTGCCCCTGTCCTCCTGACTGCTGGTATTCCAAGGAGGTCTCCCATCCAAGTACTTGTCAGAGTTGACCCTGCTTAGCTTCTGAGATCTGACGAGATCGGCTTGTCAGGGCTATCCAGGTCAAGACTCACTTTTTTCGTTTTCAAAAGCGTTGCATGTACATCGGGGTTTCGACCTCCCGGGAATCCTTTCCATGCGACTTAGCCTGCCATGGAACCCTAGCATGCTGTAGAGGATTGTGGGAAATGTTCCAGGTACAAATTCAGCTCATGCAGGGTCCGGTTGCTTTGTGTGCATTCAGGGACACAACCAGCTTTCCCCCAAGGCTCCTTATTGCTGGAGGAGTCCGGTAATAATTGGCAGGTTTCTTCAGGAAGGTCATCCACCATTCTTCTCATCAGGGAACACCTTCCATGAAACCCCAGCCTTTTCCCGATGTGCCATCTGAAAATGAGCGGCACAATCGTTTCAGCAGTGTAATAAATCCTTTGGTTATTTAAGACAGCACACGCTGTGGTTCAGTGGAAGAGTACCTAGCTTTGCATGCATAACATCTCAAGTTCAGTCCCCGGTATCGCCAGTTTTCAAAAGGATCAAGGAATATGTCAAATGAAAGACTTTAAACTGCAACCTGGGAGAGCCACTAATAGTTACAAGAGATCACGGTGACCTTGATAAGCCAGCTTCAGTATAAGGCAGCTTCTTGTGTATTCAAAAAGATGCCGGCAGGCAGAAATGATGGCATAATCGGCGCAAATAGAAAGGAGCCAGCCTAAAAACCACTACAATAAAATAATCTCACACAGCCAGTTGAGCCACAGCGGCAGCCCATTCCTAGGCTGACTTGAGGCCTAACTGAATAGAATCAGGCTGTAACTGACCTCAACAGAAGAACTGTCCACTGGATGTGGTCATAGTCCATCAGAAACAACAATATGACACGGGGACATATCTGACTTCCTTCCTTGTGTCTGGTGTGGTGACTACGAAGTGATTTGTCAGCCGAGAAGTCCTCTGCTGAAACGTTGCTTCAGCCAGCACCTAAGCTTAATCAGCCCTGACATGGGCAGTGTTTGTTCGGATGGGTAGCCTGCCCCGTCCGAAAAGACTGAGACTGCTGTAAAAACCAATAAAACAGATCTGACCGCATTCAGCAAAATCTGCCTCCTCTCTTCCAACTTAGCCCTGAGCACAAATGGCAAGGTCTGACAGTATTTCTGAAAGGTGCTTTGTCCTGGCTGTGTGAGAGGGAGTCTCAAAAATGGGGTGGGCAACAGGAACACCCCTGTGAAGTTGCCAACAGACCGGAGCAGACATGGCTATGCTGGCAGGAAGCGGGGTTTTCCCCTCCAGCTTCCACACAGCATTGTGGGTATTCCCCTTGTACCTTCCAGCTTTCCCCTGGCTTCACTGCCATCTTTCCTAAACCTTCTTTCAGGAATGGTCACAGCAGAGCCGGGGTGGCTGCTGTGGTGGGTGGGAGTCTGGTTCTTTTCTGGTCTCCCACCCACATGAGTGCAGTTCCCCCAGCCCAATTCCACCTCCCCCCAGCACCGCTGGAGCACTTTTTTAGGATGTTTTTTTTAAAAAAATCAGTAACTCACAAATGGCTGCAGCATTGTGACGATCTGTCTTCTAGGTCCTTTGAATTCCCAGCTTTCACTTAAAAAAAAGACACCTTAAGTCTCTCTTGCTTTTCTTTGCAGATATATACATCTTTCCCTTTATGGCTTCATAATGAAAGGGGCAGAGACCGGCCTTTCTTTTTAAAAAAATGAAAGCTGGGAATTTAGAGGACCTAATAGACAGATTAATGTTGAAAAAGCCCCCCCCCTGGCTAGCTACTGTGAAGGGCGGGGTGGACTGTGGCAGAGAAAATGCAAGGAAACCCACCTTTACAGAATCCCCCTTGACCCCTGTGTTGAATCAGAAGAGCTCTGCTGGATCAGACTGGTGGTCCATTGAGTCTGCTATTCTGGATCACACAGCAGCCAACCAGTTGTTCTGGAGGGGTAAAGAAACAAGGTGCAGAGGACAAGGCCTTCCCTTGATTCTGCCTCACAGCACTAGGATTCAGAGCTTTACTGCCTCTGTATGTGAAGGGTCCCTTTAGTCACCGTGACCTAGTAGCTATTTGATGGACCTCTCCTCCATGAAGCTGTCTAATCCCCCTTTAAAGCCATCCGTGCTTACGGGCACCATTATGTACACTGGCAGTGAATTTTACAATGTAGTAACTCATTGAGTAAAGAAGTATTTCCTTTCGCCTGTCCTGTAACCATAATAATCCATCAACTTCCTTGGGTGCTCCCAAGTTCTGGTATCATCTACTCTCTCTGCTCTATGTATAATGTTATAAACCTCTATCATGCGCCCCCTTGGCCATCTTTTCTTCTAGACTAAAAACTCCCCAAACTCTTCAGCCCTTCCTCAGTTGCAGCAGCAAAGAGAAGACCTTGGAGTGGTGTGGTTGTATGGAAGTTGCTGTTGTGTTCTTAGGAAGCATCGTTCAAAGGTCTTTGATATCTTAACGAGGGAGGCAGTATTTCAGGTGTGTGCGTCGTAAACTGTTGGGATTTTACAAGGAACAGTGTCACTATCTGTATACATAATGTTGATTTACCTCACAGGGTTATTATTAGGATTTACCAGGGCAGCCATGTTCTTAGTCACTGTACTAGACACGAGGAACTCCTCGGGTGGTGTGTTGTTGTTTTTTGGTCACATTGTTTTTCTGAACCAAACAAGGAACATTAATTGTTTTTGGAATCTCTGTGCTGTGACAGCATTTAGTGGCAATGCTTCCTTGGGCAATTTGCAGTTGGGGATTTGGAGGACTTGCCAAGCCTGTTGTTACAAAGCCCTAGCGATATTTCGATATTTTAGTGCCTTAGAAAAAGAAACCACTTGTCTTTTGGGCGGGGAGGGGGCGGCGAGGGAGTGGTTTGAATACCACAGGCTGATTTTGCACCCATCTGTTTATTTGCAGTTTTTCCACAGCCATGTCAGGAGGTTAAGCTCCCTCTACACTGCATGCCGCTTTCACTTTCTTTGTTCATCGGGTGTTATGACACCTTCTGCATAGATTTATGGCCGTTCAGGGGTGACTTCGCAGTCAGTACTGCATTGCCTCCGGGGGTATCTGAACGTGGTTTTGAGCAGCACCTTTTCCTTGCTCTGATTCCAGGGGAACAATAAGCAGACAACTTGACACGGCTTCATTGATCTTCATCAGTTCCCCCACCCCTATTTTCCCCTCTGTATTTATCACCTCACCATGAATTACTTGGCTCAGGCGGCTAATGACCGCTGAGGCAAGTACTGACACAGGAAAATCTGCATACCAGTGATCCAAGGCGATGCAGTGAAAACAGATATTCGGAGGCAAGGGGGAACCAGGTCCAGTGCTGATAAAATGTGGAGCGAATGCCAGATGCAGAATGGACCACAGTCTGGAGGTGGGCGGGAGTGAGGGGGACAAAGCCGCCCTGAGCCTGCTTTGGCGGGGAGGGCAGGAAAAGGAAGAAAGAAAGATTACACACAAGGAAAAAGGCAACTCAGAAGTGGCATCCAGAAAAAGATCAGGGTAAAAGTGGCTTCAAAAGAACCAGATAAAAATGAAGGGGGGGGGCGGATGACTCCCCAAACAAAGTGAAAACTAAAACAGTTTGGGTCCAGTACCGGTGAAAAAATCTCATGAGGAAAAGATCTGAGATGCAGGAAGTACCAGTGAAAATAACCAAGACCATTAGAGAGATGATTTACAATCGTGGTTATTGGTGATAATGTGGATTTCTCCAGTTTAGTAAAGACTAGTAATGGCTGAGGACTCCCCAGTCCTTATTAAGTCCTTGGAAGGTTGTGTCAGTCTATTTGATGAATAGTCTATTTGATGAAAGAAAGAAATCCCCTGTCTCTAGTGGCCAAAGCAGACATGGAAATAGCAGGTCTGTGTTTTTAAACACAAATCAGTCTCAGTCATTCCAAAAGTGGGGCAGGGGTGTAGGTGGAATGGTTTGATTTTTTCAGAGTAGAAGGTATGAGGTTAAAACCCTCCAACCTCCCCCCCCCCAGGTTACTTATCTCTCTTCATCTCCTCTGTCTAAGCATTTTTCCCCAGCTTGGCGCACTCCCCGTACCTGAACTCCATGCAGGAGAAAAACCCCTGGGGAGACAGACGCCAGGGAGGTAATCTATAGGTGGGTGGAAGGTTCTGCCGTTGTGCCAATTTTGCTGTTTCAAACAGACCTCCCACCCCACTCTGCCTGTGCGATTGGGGCATAATCTGTGTTGAGACATATAGAACCGCCACATCTTGTTTGGTGCTGCGGAGTGCTAAAAGCGAAAGAAAAGCTAATTGCTCTCAGGGGCGGGGGCGGGAATGTCCTGTGGACCAAAATAAAACAAAAGTCCAGTGCCCCCTCAAAGTCCACTTTACACATCTGAAGAAGTGAGCAGTGTCTCACAGAAGCTCATATCTGGAATAAATCTTAGTCTTTAAGGTGGCACCGCAAACCCCACCCACCCCAGGCTCAACCCTGTTTCTGACCACTCCAGGAATTTTCCAACCT